TGTGTGTGTGTGTATATACATATATATATATATATATATATATATATATATATATATGTGTGTGTGTGTGTATGCATATATATGTATATATATATATATATATATATATACTCCTGCATTTATCACGTTGTATATGGAGATACAAGTAAAAAAACAGTCATGAGCAATCAATAAGGTACCAAGCCAACCCTTACGCATTACACTACACAAAACAGTACAGCTACTAATACATTCACTATCCCATCACACTACATATACACATATACAGCTACTAATACATTCACCATCCCATCACACTGCATATACACATATACAACCACTGATACATAAACCACCCATCACACTGTATACACACATATACAACTATTAATACATTCAGCATCCAATCACACTACATACACACCTATCTATACAACTACAAATACATTCACGATCCCATCACACTTCATAGACACCTATGTAACTACTTATCCATTACGTATGTATCTAGATCCAATTCATTAGCTACTAGCTACATCTCATCGATAACTATAGTAGTACTCCTGTAATGCTTGCCCTGTATACCTAGATCCGACTCATTGGTAGCCATGACAATGATCTGTCACTTGGTTGTGCACAGGAATCTGCTTTGTTCTTCATGAGCGTCTCTTTCCATCTCCTTAGTCTCAGAAACACATACGTGTACAAACTTACGTGTGTGTACACACGTGTACATACTTACGTGTAAACACACACGCATCTCAAAAAATTCGTACCCTTACATGCACACATACCTATAGAGCTACTCCTGCAGTGACCGAAACCTATAGCCAAACTAGCCTCAAGCTCATCCATGGCCAAGTCCTGCATCTCCAGACGTGTGCACGAGTCTGTCTCTCTCGTTGTAGGTGTGCTTTGTCTTACACAGTAAATTCAATGGTTGTACTCACAGAGTCACCTAGGAAAGTTCAATTGCGTGTAGACTTATCTATCGCATTAGCGGACAAAGACTCGAAATACCGTACGTCATCGATTGTTGTACACACGACAACAACTCCAAGGTGCCCAATCAAGTACTCTCTCAGGCACACGCACACACTATCTATCTCTCTCTCTCTCTTTCTCACTCTCTCTCTCTCTCACTCACTCACTCTCCTGAAGATGCACTGGAACAGATTTCAACTGAGTCAAAGTACTAACATCTCGCTGCTATAGACCGACACATCTGCAATCCATGAACGATGACGTGCTTAAGGCCCGTGTGAAGAATCGACTAAGGAGGTGTGCATTTCGCATGTTCTACACGTGCATATACATTTGCAACTACCAGACAAGGCTATATACAACTACCCTGGGATACGGCTACAGGCTATTAACACGTTCAATTATACCTATGCATATACAAATATTCAACATATAACACGTAACATTATAACTGCACACACGACACCACACTAAACTTTATAATAAAACAGTAAAAAATTCACTATAAATATAAGGGGAACAATATTACTATGAGCTATTATTATCAACAAAATCAGAACAAAAGCCCGCCTAAACCCTTAATTGGATATAGATTGAAGTTCGGTATGTGCCTCAGGGCAGTCTTTAATCACCTTCATCTGTATGTAAATAAATAAAGTATTTATAAATATTTAAAGTATATTCATATATATATATATACATATATTTATAAGTATATTCCATTTATATATACACATATATT